CCAATAGATTACTATAAAACACAAAAAAGGAGAATAATATTTCATTCATTAAAAGTCAATACTCAAAATAAACTACTCAAAAATCTTTTCAAGGTACTCATGGCATATCTAACACCAACAAATTATCTTCATCAAGTACTTTTGAATAATCTTTTGAAACAAAGATGTCTTAACATCTTCATTTTCATCTAAATCTATAATTATATGTAATGTTAATTAGTTAAACAATAAGAAATAACTAAAAAATTAAGAACAAAAAGTATTCAAATTAAGATAAAAAATATTACCAGTTTGAGATTAAGCTACCTTTCTTATTATTTTTAGTTTTTATTTTTTTTATATTTTTAATTAAATACGCTTATTAAGCCCACGGGCCAACCCAGCCCAGCCTCAGTCAAGTCTCATGGACCACATGCTTAATTGGGTCGGACTTAAAAGCCTCGTTTTTAAATGGGTTCCAAAAAATTTAGCCCAGCCATATTAAATTATGGGTTGGGTTGGGTCGGCCCAATGGGCCAAGCCAATGTTGACAGCTCTAGATAATCCAAAGCGACTGGAACATATGCGATACTTTTTTCTACAATCAGACTTTTCTATAACAACATCTTTATATAACAGTCATTCACTATAAAAGCCAAGTTTTCCTCATAACCCATTTTTTAAGTTATATTTTACCTCTCTATAATAACTTTTTACCTATAACAACAACAACCATATTTATATCAGAATGATCTTTGTAAAATGACTCCTCTATAATGGCCATATAGAATCTTTAAGATTACTATAACAATTCTAAAAATATGCACACAATCGTTTCCATTAAACAAAGTTTCTATCTTGCATAAGATTTAAAGATTTGCATATGATATCTTTTCCATTGGGCAAATTCTAAAAAAATATTTAGGTAGAAAATTTAACTGTCAAGCTTTTAGATTGTCTTCAAGGGAAAATTATTAGATACCTTTTTGCTGAAATGGACACGAATCTTCGCCAATTCAAGTATTATATCACTAGTAAGAGAATAAAATCTACGAAATAAGCTACAATTATAAAGTTCTTCCATCAATCTTGAAATTAATTATTTTTTAGGTAGCTTTTATATGTCTACCTTATAGCTTAAATCTTTATACTTTTAGTTATGAATTTATTAATAATGTATTAGCTTTCTTCAATATTTAACTAGTGAAATATGCATATCTTTTGATATTTTAAATTTGAATAATTTTCTTATCTTTTATATGTAACATTAAAAAGAAAAAATAATTGATTTTTGGATAATTTTGATCTATAACAGCCAATTTAAACGTCAAATGATGTTATAAGTGTATAACAACCATCACTATAAAAGCCAAAAAATATCTGAACAAACGAGGTTATTATAAAGAGGGTTGACTGTATATATGGGGGGAGGGGGGAGGGAAGTACACGGTTAGCCACCAATATCACATGTATTTACTTTTAAGCCAATGTTTAAAATGTCTTTAGTCTTTAGCCACTGCTTTAATAAACTTTAACTGCTCGAACGAAAATATCCTTCTGCTAATGTCTTTTGAACATAACTTCAAGACTTCACGACTACATGTCCTTAACTTTTGAACTTGGAACTCTAAGTTCTGGACTTCAGGACTACATGTCCTTAACTTTTGAACTTAACTTCAGGACTACATGTCCTTAACTTTTGAACTTGTAATTGTAAGTTCAGGACCAAGTGTCCTTAACTTTTGAGCTTGTTAGACTAAGTTCAGGACCTATTGTGCTTAACTTTTGGGCTTCTTAGCCTAAGTTCGGGACCTATTGTCCTTAACTTTTGAGCTTGTTAGTCTAAGTTCAGGACTTCAGGACCTAATGTCCTTAACTTTTGAACTTGTAAATGTAAGTTTAGGACCTATTGTCCTTAACTTTTGGGCTTCTTAGCCTAAGTTCATGACTTATTGTCCTTAACTTTTGAGCTTGTTAGTCTAAGTTCGGGACTTCACGACCTATTGTCCTTAACTTTTGAACTTGTAACTGTAAGTTTAGGACCTATTGTCCTTAACTTTTGAGCTTGTTAGTCTAAGTTCAGGACCAAGTGTCCTTAACTTTTGAACTTGTAATTCTAAGTTCAAGACCAAGTATCCTTAACTTTTGAACTTGTAACTGTAAGTTCAGGATTCATAACGTAGCAGATAACCAAACGCTATTTGTATATTTTCACAAAAAAAATAAAAAAAATAATAATTGCAATTTACCTATAAGATTGATGTCAAATGAAATGCAAAAAATTCTTCCAAAATCATCGTAGTTTGTTATTGATTGTTCCAATAAATAAAACCAAAAATGGTAGTAACCTATACTACAAATTTTAAGAATGTATATCTGTATCGATACTCTGAACCAAAGCACTTCTATCCAATAAATGAACCCATAACGAGATCAACATTGCTGAATGAACGTAACATCGTTTATGTCTTTTGATATTTCTTAATTCTCGTCGATATAGAAGCAACTTGGTATTAGTTATGTTGTGGCGTGATGAATATAAAATATTCATATATTATATACTTAAAATTATACTATTTTCAATAAAGTATTTATATAATATTTCGATTCTCTATATTTTCTAACAATGTTTTGCAGGAGATAAGAATGCTATTAATTAAGCAAGAAAATGACAGAAACAAGAATGTCGTAACATATTCACTCCACAATGCAAGAAGATCACGACGCATCTTCTTCGTGACGTATCTTCCTCGAGATACATCTTCCTCAAGATGCATCTTCCTCAAGACATATTCTCCTCAAGATGCATCTTCCTCACTTGAGATCACAACACTTCAAGAAGAAATGTACTTCTATAAATAGAAGGCAACTCTCTGTGTATGAAGCATCGCGGAAAAAGGAACAAAAGAGCCACTTTATTTTCTAAAACTTTGGTCACTTATTCTTTCTTGTTCTTCTTTCGTTACTTATAATTTTCAGATTTCCTAGTAGTATTAGCAATATAGGCCATATTATAGAAGTCCTTTCTTTTTCAAATACTCGATAATGGAGTAGTGTCTTTTTGTTGGGATAGTTGATAAAGCTTGATATATATATATATAATAGTTTTCTCAATCTTATTACATACTTATTACATATAGTAGGTGCTGGGGTGTTAGATTTTAAATAGTTTTCTCAATCTAGCATTCCAAATCTTGATTTTTGCTTACTTCAATTTTAATTCTCACAGAGGAATTGTTATAAGCAATATCATTGATTTTGTAGTAAAAATATTCTCACGAAATTTTTACTACCTCTTAGCACAATTCAGGCAAGACACATATTTCGGTCTTATCGTCATTAGTCGTAAGTCAGTTAATAATATAACCTCAAGGAGTATTATTAATTGTTTACTTTCTAGTGAGCAAAACATAATTGTATTAGCAATAAACAATTATTCATTAGTGAAATATATGCAGAAATTGAGATTTCATTATAAAAATATCGTCAAGTGAATTCAATGATTTCCAACACTTTTTAAATATAAATTTTCCACAAGTTGTTTTTGTTTAAGTAATTTACAAATTTAAAATCCTACTCTTTTCATCAATTTGGTTCTCTCAAATAGTAGCTAAAACATTACAAGTTTGTAGCATAGTTTTTCCAATCTTTGTGGGACGATATCTTAAACTATATTAGAATTTGACTAAGCACGAGCAGGAAAATCATATACACATTGGCCTCGTCAAATTTTTGGCGCCATTGCCGGGGATTGGCATAAATCTACTTCAAATTAAATATTTTATTACTAATTTGAGAATTATTATTATATGTATTGGTATCCTTATTTTTTTTAGTATTATCATCACCTACTAAATATTTCTATAACTATTACTATTATATCCATTCTAACGTTTTTTTTCGTAGTAATATAAAAGTTTTTTTTCTCGTTCTTTCTCATTGTTGTAACTATTATCTACTGTTTTTATTATTAACATGTGTAGATATGATTAATGTGTATATCTTAACTCTTATGATATTATCAGCAACTTCACGTCATAGCACTTTCATCATAATATACTATTTGTACTAACTATCTTTTCCTTTAATATTGATAATTATTATCACTAAGTGTACTATTCACTACTACGACTTTTCTTTTACTATTTTCTTTTAGTGATACTGTTATTGTAGGAATTAAGTTTAATTGTCTTTAAAAAAAACTTTAATTTTCTTTACTTCAAAAAAATAAAAATAAAAATCACTTAGTTTATGACCCGCTCTTCTACAAAAGAGTTGGCACATTACAATCCTGAAATTGAAAGATCTCTTCGATTACGCAGGAAAGAACAAACATCATCTTCTCAAAGCGAAGCTTGCGAAGGAATGGAAAACTAGGGAGTAGAAGATATCAATCCACCCGAAGTACCACATGTCCATTTAGAAGATCAATTTGATGAAGTGGCGCCAAGACCAGCAAACAGAATCCTAACGGATTATGCTAGACCTGATCGCTTCAACTGTGAATCTAGTGTTAGAAACCCCCAGTAGCAGCCAACAACTTTGAAATTAGGACCGGCCTAATTCAAACAATTCAACAATCTTGTATCTTTACAGGAGATTCAAGTGAAGGTCCACATAGTCATTTAATTGATTTTCCGGAACTTGTTGAAACTGCTAAGTATAATGGAGTTCCTCCTGAAGCTATCAAGTTAAGGCTATTTTCTTTTTCTTTAAAAGGAGATGCCAAGACGTGGTTGCGAAGTTTACCTCAGGGGTCAATTACCACGTGGGACTAGATGACTCAGAAGTTTTTGAATAAATATTTTTATCCTGCTAAAACAATAAAGTTAAGGCAAGAAATATTTAATTTCTTATGGATTGATACTGAGCAGTTTATCAAGATTGGGAAAGATTAAAAGCAATGTTAAAAAAATGCCGGCACCATGATATTCCTGAACACATGCAGTTGTATATTTTTTATCACGGGTTATAACCCTCTTCTACAAATGTGATTTGATGCAGCTGCAGGAGGTTCTGTAATGGGAAAAACAATAGAAGAAGCACTGCAGTTATTGAATGAAATTTCTGAAAATGTCATTCAATGGCTATCTGAGCGTGTAATCATCAAAAAGACCGCTACGGTAAATCAAGTTGATGCTTTAAACACACTAACACAACAGATTGTTTCTTTGGCACAAAAATTTGAATCTTTTCAGGCGAATACAAAACAATCAAGCCAGTCTGAGGCTTGTGATATGTGTGGAGGAAACCATCTGAATCATGAATGCCAAGCAATAAATCAAAATGATAAACATATCAATGTAATCGGTTACAAGCAGCACCCCTTTGGAAGTCTAATGGCACATAAACATCCAGGATTTCAATGGAGCAATCCAAATAGTGTCGAGAACTCTCAGAGCTTCCAGAAGCCACAGGTATAAGGTCCACCTGGTTACCAAAATCAAAACCATGGGCAATCAAATTTCAGACCTTATCAGCAAGCAACTCCATATCAGCAAATGCCTCAGCAAATACATCCAAGTCATGATGGCCTTTTGTACAAATACATTAAGGTCGCTGATAAAAAAATGGAAAGCCAAAATTCAGCCCTTAAAAATTTGGAAATCCAGCTGAGCCAATTGGCAACTCTTATGTCAGAAAAAATTCAAGGCCCCTTACCAAGCAATACGGAGAAAAACCCAAAGGAACACCCTAAGGTTATCACCTTACGATCAGGTAAGGAGCTTGATGAACCCAATAAAGTCAGAGAAGAAAAGAACCAGTCAGAACAACAGGTAAACAAGGGTAAGAATGTTGAAACACCCTCTAAACCATTAGAAGATAAAGAAGTCAAGAAAAAAGAAGAGAAAAATATTGAAAAAATGATTCCTCCCCCTGTGACAATTCATTTTCCACAAAAAATGAAAAGAGAAAAGCTTGATGGCGAATTTGCAAAGTTTTTAGAAATTTTGAAACAAATTCATATTAATATTCCTTTCACTGATGCTTTGATGCAAATGTCTTCATATGCAAAAATTTTAAAAGAAATTTTGTCAAGTAAAAAGAAATTGGAAGAAATTTTTGTAGTAACGCTTACTGAAAAATGCAGTGCTATACTTCAAAATAAGCTACTACAAAAATTTGGTGATATTGGCAGTTTTACAATTCCATGCACTTTGGGAGGAGTGTATTTTGAAAAAGCACTCTGCGATTCTGGAGCTTCAATAAATTTGATGCCACTTTCTATCTTTAGAAAATTGGATCTTGGTGAAATGAAGGACATAAGTGTTTCTCTTCAATTTGCAGATCAAAGTACTAAGAAACCTAAGAGAATAATTGAAAATGTGTTTATAAGAGTAGATAAGTTTGTTTTCCCTATAGATTTTATAGTACTTGAAATGAAAGAATGTCCTGATGAACCAATTATTTTGGGTAGACTATTTCTTGCTACAGGTAGAGCAATTATAGATGTCCACCAAGGACAGTTAATTCTAAGAGTTGATGAAGAAAGGTCATTTTTGACATGCAAAAGATGCTAAGATTTTCAGGAGATGAATCATCATCTTCATGTTTTTCAATTGACATGATTAGTTATCTTATAGATGAATATAGAGATGATCAATTAACTCCAGACCCAATGGAAAGATGTTTGGCCAAATCAGGCATCATACAAGATGATGATTCCATCATCAGAAAAGAAGCTGAAATATTGGAAAAAGATTCTGAGGATCAGGAGATGCAACGAGAAGAAGTTCAACCAAAAATTGAACTCAAAATTCTCCCATCTCATTTAAAATATGCTTATCTTGAAAAAGAACAATGTCCAGTGATTATTTCATCTTCTTTGACTCAGAACAAGAAGAACGATTAATTGAAATCTTGAAAACACACAAAGGAGCCTTAGGGTGGACTATATCAGATATCAAAAGGATTAGTCTAGTTGTTTGTACTCACAGAATCCTTATGGAGGATAGTTACAAGACAATAGTCCAACTCCAAAGGAGATTGAATCCAGCAATGCAGGAAGTGGTAAAAAAGGAGATTGTAAAACTTTTGGCAGCAGGTATCATTAATCCTATTTTAGACAGTCCTTGAGTAAGTCCTGTTCAGGTAGTGCCAAAGAAAGGAGATATGACAGTTATTAAAAATAAAAATAATGAATTCATACCTAACAGGACTGTCACAGGATGGAGAGTCTATATTGATTACAGACGTCTCAATGATGTTGCTAGAAAAGATCATTTTCCTTTGCCATTTATTGATCAAATGTTGGAAAGAATTGCAGGATATGGGGTTTATTGTTTTCTTGATGGCTATTCAGGGTGTAACCAGATACCAATTGCACCAGAAGATCAAGATAAGACAACTTTCACACGTCCTCATGGAACATATGCTTATAGGAGAATGCCATTTGGTTTGTGCAATGCCCCTGCTACATTTCAGTGTTGCATGTCAGCAATTTTATCTGACATGACCGAGAAATTTCTCGAGATTTTTATGGATGATTTTACACTCTTTGGAAAAACATTTGAGGATTGTCTTTATCACTTGACTTTAGTTCTTAAGAGATGTGAAGAGACAAACTTGATTCTTAATTGGGGAAAATATCATTTTATGGTTATTGAAGGAATTGTTTTAGGACATAAAATCACTGCTAAAGGTATAGAAGTTGATAAGACTAAAATTGATCTTATAGCAGGATTACCCCCTCCCACAACTATTAAAGGCATTAGAAGTTTTCTAGGTCATGCAGGTTTTTACAGACGGTTCATAAAAGATTTTTCAAAAATTTCAAAACCGCTGACTAACCTCTTAATGAAAGATACTAAATTTAATTTTTCAGCTGATTGCCTAGATGTATTTGAGACCCTTAAGAAAAAGTTATCAACTGCCCCTGTAGTCGTGTCCCCTGACTGAAATTAACCTTTTGAGGTTATGTGTGATGCTAGTGATATAGCAGTATGAGTTGTTTTAGGCCAGAGAAAGAATAAGATTTTCCGTCCCATTTACTATGCTAGTAGAACAATGAATGAGGCTCAACTTAATTATGCCACAACAGAGAAAGAGTTACTAGCAGTAGTATTTGCATTTGATAAATTTCGTACATATTTGATAGGAACTAAGGTCACAGTTTTCACTAATCATGCAACTTTGAAATACCTCTTAGCAAAGAAAGATGCTAGACCTAGATTGTTAAGATGGATTTTACGTATGCAAGAATTTGATCTTGAGATAAAAGATAAAAAGGGAACGGAGAATCAGGTAGCTGATCATTTGTCTAGATTAGAAAATTCTCCCCTTGAGTTTAGTGAGATAATGGAAGAATTTCCTGATGAACATATTTTTTTAATCGACTCAGTAGTGACTCAACCACCCTGGTGTACAGATATTGCAAACTACTTGGTTGGAAAGTGGACGTCCCAAGATCTCTCATACCAACAAAGGAAAAAAATTATAACTGATGCTAAGTATTATTTGTGGAACGAACCTTACTTGTTTAAATTTTGTGCAGATAATATCATTAGAAGATGTGTACCTGAAGAAGAGATGACTAAAATTTTATATCACTGCCATGATGGAGCAGTTGGAGGTCATTATGCAGCAAATCGAATAGCTTTTAAGGTTTTGGAAGCTGGATTCTTCTGGCCGACACTCTTTAAAGATGCCCGAACATACGTTGCACAATGTGATAGGTGTCAGAGAACAGGTAACATCACTAAAAGAGATGAAATGTCATTGCAATCGATACAGGTATGTGAAATATTTGATGTTTGGGGAATAGATTTCATGGGACCTTTTCCTTCTTCTCAATCTTTTGAATATATTCTTGTAGCTGTGGATTGTGTGTCAAGATAGGTTGAATCGATACCCACAAGAAAGAATGATGCTCGTACAGTGTGCAATTTTCTCAAGAAAAATATTTTTACTAGATTTGGCACACCGCGAGTCATCATTAGTGACCAAGGAACTCATTTTATGAATAGGCAATTCTCTACTTTGCTATCAAAATATGGTGTGACTCACAAAACAGGAACACCATATCATGCTCAATCTCAAGGACAAGTTGAAGTTTCGAACCGCGAGTTAAAAAGAATTCTTGAGAAGACAGTTGGAATTTCTAGAAAAGACTGGTCTTTAAAATTAGATGATGCATTATGGATTTACCGAATATCATTCAAAACGCCAATTGGAACATCCCCATATAGACTAGTATTTGGTAAAGCTTGTCATTTGCCGGTTGAATTAGAACATAAAGTTTTTTGGGCATTGAAAGTGCTAAACTTTGATTTGACCTTTGCGGGTAAAAATAGATTTTTTCAGGTTAATGAATTAGAAGAGTTGAGGTTGGAAGCCTATGAAAATGTCAGAATTTTCAAAAAAAAAACAAAAGTATGGCATGACAAGTTGATCCGACAAAAGAGTTTCAAAATTGGGGATAAGGTACTTTTTTACAATAGCCGACTCAGGCTATTCCCTGGAAAATTAAAGTCCAGATGGACAGGTCCTTACAATGTTACAAATGTTACTTCATATGGTGCTATTGAGATTTAGCAGATCAGTGGTGGAGATAAGTTTAAAGTAAATGGTCACAGTCTAAAATTATATTTTGGAGGGCAATTTGAGAAACAACCATCAGTTACTCTAATTGAATAAGGAATCATGTAGAAAATAAGTCGAGCTGGCGACATTAAACTCATAACTATATTTTCCTACCCGTAGCCATTGAGGGTGAAGCAATGGAGTCTTATAAGTCCCGTATAAATTTGCATAAATTGCTTAGTCAGTTGATCTGGTTAATATCTAGGTTATTGTACAACCAGAACATTTTATAAAGGCCTCTACAAAAACAGAGTCACATATGCAAGAGTAATTCCATGATGATCAGTATGCCTAAGTGACTGGTTGGTTAATCGTTTAATTATGCAAATTAATTACTGACTCAGGTAATTTTTTGGTTTATATTTAAACCAAGACCAAATGACTGATAAGGTCTTAAATTAGTCAGTCTAGTACACATGGAATATGTGTGATCATAGTTTCTTACAAGCTTTCTTCCGTGATTGTAAATTTGAAAGCCAAAAAGATTTTTTTTTGTTTTTTTACATGTAATATATATATATATATATGTGTGTGTGTGTGTGTGTATGTGTGTGTGTGTTTTAAAATTGTACATATAAAAAATTATTAGTGGTAACAAAATAATAGAATTATTAGTATTTGGCATTAGCCTGTTGGTTATAAAACTTACCCTTGGTAAATACAAATAAACTCATCTTTTATTTTATTCTTAATTGTTGTTCTTGTATAATATTAAAGTTTTCAAATAATTATTCGCATGGTTTCAAACATATTTTTTCATTTATGCCATATAACTTCCATGTTTGTATTTGTGTTTTTGTGATGGCAATAATAAATCTCCTAATCTGAGAAATAGTTGGAATTGAGAAGCATTATGATCTCAACAGGTAGAATCAATAAAACTTTGCTAGATCTTGCCTCAAATGTCTATCAAGGCGAAATTATAGACAACATTGAGTTTTAAATGAAATTAGGCTTTCCTTGATTCACTTTTTAGCCTCTCTGTTTCTACCACTACACACGCATATATATTTCCCTTTAGCACCCAACTTTGAGCCTTATTAATAAGAGAGAAAAAAAGAGAAAGGATAAACCAACTCTTCTTAATACACCATATTGGTTTAACCAAAGAAAAAAGATTTCTTCCAGCTATAATTGAGTAGAAATGGCTATTTAAGCAAGGGATGAAGGAATACTTTTGGAGTAAAGTTTGTATTCAGAGAAAGGTGAATTGATTTGTATATAAAGTTTAAAAAAAATGATGTGAATATCCTTCTTAAAAAAAATTGACGTGAATATACTTATGGAATAAATTCTTGGTGTAAGAAGTTAGAACTTATGGAGAATATTTCTGTTGAAAGGAATGTTGACTTAATTGGTGTTAATAATGGGACAGAAGACATCTCTAGAGTTTTTTTCTTCTTTGTATTAAATTGTACTAGTTCCTTTGGTAAAATAATTGGCTCACATTATAAAGCTGGAAAGAACACAGTCACTATAAATATTTCATTTACCCTTACCCGCACTAAGCCTCACAATAAAAGCCTGAAAAACTCCTAAAAAAGATTTTTAAAAAATCAATGTTGATTCTACATTAGTGGAGACTGACATGAAGGGCAAGGTTATGGATAAAGTTTGAGAAACTCAAGGATTGTGATCATAATGTTATCAAACTCAAAAAGTTCGTCAAAGGAGGAGAGAAATTTTTTGTCAAACAAAAGCAGAAGTAAAAATAAGATAAAGATTTGGTGACTTGAAAAACTTATAGGTTTTGAATGTTATGTGAATTTTTATTTTCTTACTTTTCTAGTCTACAAGAAATAATAATTACTAATAAAATAATTCTCCCTTAAGGACGAGCAATGATTCAAGTATGAGGGAGTTTGATGAGTATAAAATATTCATATATTATATACTTAAAACTATACTATTTTAAATAAAGTATTTATATAATATTTCGATTCTCTATATTTTCTAACAATGTTTTGCAGTAGATAAGAATGCTATTAATTAAGCAAGAAAATGACAGAAATAAGAAGGTCGTAACATATTCACTCCACAATGCAAGAAGATCACGACGCATCTTCTTCATGACGTATCTTCCTCGAGATACATCTTCCTCAAGATGCATCTTCCTCAACACACATCTTCCTCAAGACATATTCTCCTCAAGATGCATCTTCCTCACTTGAGATCACAACACTTCAAGAAGAAATGTACTTCTATAAATAGAAGGCAACTCTATGTGTATGAAGCATCGAGGAAAAAGGAACAAAAGAGCCACTTTTTTTT